GGAGAGGGAGGGGGAGAGGAGTGGGGGGGAGGGGGAGAGGAGAGGGAGGAGGGGGGAAAAGGGAGACGGGGAGGGAAATGGGAGGCGGGGAGGAGGCGGAAATCTTTTTTTTTCTTTTTTCAATAAAAAAATTATATATATAAAAAAATAAATAAATTTAGCAAACACACACAAAAAAAAAACTACAGGGTGAGACTAACTCTACCTCTGTTGCTCACTGTTATACCCTCTGACCTTTACAAAAAGTCACTTAAGCATTTTGTGTCTCAGTCTCCCAATTTCAAAGTGGGAAGAACAATAATATACATAATTTAAAGCGCTGGTATTAGGTAAAAGTGGTTCCAGCCAAGTCCAAGGACATGAGGGTGGAAGAACAAGACCATTTCCCCAGATCACACATGTGGGAACATGTGTCCCCACAGACACACAAAGTAAATGTATGCAATAATTTAAAAGTTAAGTGGGCTGATATTTGTGAAATGCTTAAAACAGGGCGTGATACATTGGAAGTGATGTTTTCTTTGTGGCATAACGTGCAGTCAGTTTTAGTGACTGGCCCATGAGTCCTTGAAGGAGAGGTCTGTTCTTTGGCATATTAATCTATTGCTTATTTCTGACAATGTTTAGATTACCTGCTGGCTTTACTTACATTTTTATTTCACCTTTCATGGGCTGCCATTGTCTCATCATTTTTGCTTTTTGAATCTTGGTTCCTTTCCTTTGTTGCATATTCATAACCATTGTAGTTATATCAGGAAACAGAGCCTTTATCATTCAAAGTGCGTTTCTTTGACTTGCTTAATGATTTTGACCTGAATCCAACCTTGTTTGATTATGGCACCTGCTCTCTCTCTATTTGCATTTTCCCAGTTGTACCACTGCCTGTTTCTTTTTTTCCTGCAAGTGTTGATGAATTACTTTATTCTCAGTAAGAGCAAGCAGCTCAGAGTTGGACTTCACTTTGTGATCTGATCTGCCAGTCCCTTTGTTTTAGTAGACGACATAACCCATATGCAGTTTCGAACAAGAAGTGTGTTTGAACAGACATACCACTTTAGTCTGTCATTCTTTCTCCTTTACCTCTATCAAAGACTCCTGGTTTTTGTATATGTTGCTTCTGATAATTTTAATGCTTTATGTTTTTGTGTAGTGTGGTAAATTTTTAGAGGTAAATTTAAAATGGCCTTAATTATTCATTTCTCTTTTTTTCAATCATTTATTTAACTCTCATTTTATGTGCACTGCTGTGAAGGTGTCAGATCCCTTAGAACTGGACTTACAGACAGGTGTGAACTGCCATGTGGATGCTGGGAATTGAACCTGGGTGCTCTAGAAGAGCAGCCAGTGCTCTTAACCACCGAGCCATCTCTTCAGCCCCAATTCTCAATTTCTTTGGACATTGTCTACAATGTTAATGTTTTTCTCAGTACTTTAACTTGTTACTATAAGGTATACCCATGCCTGTGACTAGACTTATTACTAGTAAATGACACTAATGTACTAAATCTACTGTCTACCTTTCTGTCCAGATAAAATGCTTCGTTACAACTTTCACACACATGTACCAATTTTCAAGTGATAGTTTAAAATATCTAGTTTATTTGATTTACATGTATGTGTCTGTGTGTGTACCATGTGTGTGCGGGTACTCACAGAAACTAGAAGAGGGCATCTAGAAACTAGAAGACCCCTTGAAGCTATAGTTGCATGCCATTGTTAGTCCACTGTGAATGCTGGGAGCCAAACTCTGGTCCTCTGGTAAAATAGCAAGCTTCCTTAACTGCTGAGCCATCTCTCCACCCTGATCACTTTTTCTTTTGGTTTTGCAAACAGGGTCTCTCTGTGTAATAGTACTGGCACTTGCTTTGCCAGTACTCGCCTCAAACTCACAGAGATCCACCCACCTCTGCCTCCTGAGTGCTGCAATTAAAGATATGCACCATTGCTGCCTGCCCCCTTTTTAATTTTGGTTTTGTTACTTTTCTTGTTTCTCGCTTGTGCTCATTTCCTACAGATGCTAAGCTGTGTTGTGTTTTTGGTTTGGTTAGCCTTTGAGGAACATGAGTTTTCCTGGGAAGGTTGCTGGTGGGGCACATGGGATTGTGTGTGTGTGGCAGACATCCACCCTCTGGCCCTGGAGTTGGATTTACCCTTCATTTGATAAACAGCTAGGAGATGCTCTGGTCAAATACTCTTGTATCTCTGAGGTCCTGCTGCTTCCCGCTTAGAACTCTGTCCACGGAAATTGGATGTTAAAATGTTGCATTTGTCATATCGTAATCAAACAGGAAGGTTTTGTATTTTTTATGTGTGTCTGTCTCTCCATCCACTCCTGTGCTGTCTCCTTGACTGTCCTTCTCTTACACATACACCATCCATACATGAGGACACATCCCATCTCCTAACACAGTTGAATCCATCTTTGGTTGAGTCAGTGTTTGTTGCTTACAGTTGTTTGTTGTTTTGCTTTTCAAGATTTGTCTTATGTATATATGAGTGTTCAGTCTGCATGTTACATGTGCTCACATGCATGTCTGGTGGCACTGAGTCCCATGGAAGTGAAGTTAGTAATAGTTGTGATCACCATATGAGTGCTGGGAACCAACACTGGTCCTCTGCAAGAGCAACGCATGCTTTTAACCCCTGAGCCCTCTCTCCAGTCCCTGCCTACAGTCTTGTAAACCATATATTTTATGGCTGAACCATGAAGTAGCAATATCTTTCCTCCCCTAAACACCTTTATAATTGCTTGCTTCACTTTACACCTAACCTGCCTCCAAACTCTCTTCTCTATGTGTGCATAGGTCATTCATACACACTTGTGAACCTAATCTGGAATCAGTGGGTCTTGGAGCTGAATGTAGTGATGCTCGGTACAATGAAACCCAGCTAATAGACATATCACTACCATTGAATCTATACCTATAACTGCCTACTTCTGTCTTTTGTTTGTCAAACAAAAACAATAGCAAAAACTTTTCCAGTTCAGTAACTATTAGAGGGGTAATGTTTTGCCTTGCTTTATTTTTTTAAACATGGGTTCTCATGTGGCCCAAGCTAGCCTTAAACTCACTACTAGCTACGGATGACCTTGAACCTATCATCTTCCTGCCTCCACTTCCCAAGAGTACTGGTATTAGAGGAGTTAACCACTGTGCCCGGTTTGTACAGGGCTGGGGGATGGATCCTGGGGCCTCATGCATGTTTGGTGAGCACTCTTCCAACCAAGTTACATCCCTAGTTCCTAACAGAGACATATTAGCAAAAGTCCAAATTGAACGGTGTAGGTACTGCTCTTGAAGTCTGTACACGTACATGTCAATACACAGAAATGGAGCCATGCCTTTGTGTTGTGCTGTTGTACACAACTGGAGACTTGGTAGATTGCAAATAAGGAAATAACAGAAACACATTTTCTCATAGCTCAGGGGTCCAAATTTCAAAACAAGATGCCTGTTTCTGGGGTGTTTTTGCTAGCCTCCTCCCCACCTTTGGTTCATCTTCTTTTTTTAAAAAAAAAAATTATTTATTTATTTGTTATGTATACAGTGTTCTGCCTGCATGTGTGCCTACAGACCAGAAGAGGGCATCAGATCTCATTATAGATGGTTGTGGGCCACCATGTGGTTGCTGGGAATTGAACTCAGGACCTCTGGAAGAATAGT